CTACCGTGCTCGAGAACTCATCTTAAATCCGGCGGCATGCCTACACGCTCTCTGTATGGAGCCAAGGCTTGACACGCCTCTATTATGTGGGACACATCGAGCAACCTTTCTCTGCATAAGGGGCAACTGCGCGGGCTTTGGCCCAAAAGCAGGTGCCCATGTGTCAACCGAGTATGGCCAATCCTCAGACGGGTGAGGACGATCCCTCTTCTCCTGCTCAGATTCTCTGAGGGCCATTTACCGGTAGTGCTCTTGATTCGTAAGAGCCTCTTCGACTACCCCGCCCACTGACGCTGCCATCTTTCTTTTATCATATTTTTAACTGCGTGTTTAGCGTCAGGGGGCCTGATCGCGATGGTCCGATCTACAGGGTGGGACGTACCGGCTTTCGCCGCCTCGTCCGCGCGTTCGTTACCCTCCAGGCCGACATGTCCGGGAATCCAGACAACAACCACCGTTTTTCCGAGAGGCTCCAGCTCCGCGTATTTCTCTAACAAGAGCACGCGAGAGGGTCCACAGAGAACCTGTCGCGTATAGCCCAGACAGCGCTCAAAGAGTCGGTACATACGAGGAAGGCTGAGCCCTCCCCGGTCCGCACCGCCTCGAGAGCGTGCCAAATCGCATACAGCTCTGCCGTGTATACGCTGCAGTGAGGAGGCAACGACGAAAAAATCGTATTCCGGTGTTTTCATTAATTTTCTACCAAACCATTAAAATTAATTTTTTAAATAAAAACTAATTAATTTTTAATCACAGTTAATTTGGTTTGTATAAAAATTATGTTGTAATTAATATAACGACAATAATACATGTAGTTTGAATAAAAATGTGAGTGTCCGGTTCTTTTGTCTTCGACTGTACTCGATGCGACCAGACGAAAATCTGGACAGCGAGGATCGCAGAGCGTCGGGTAGGTTAGCGTGGCATAGCATCGGGTATGTTTCTGGCATAAGGCGTTGACACGGTGCTCATCCCTGTCAGCAAAGGTCCCGGGTTCCAATCAACAACATGCTTACAAATGTTTTTTTTTTTTTTCAAAACCGCTTGTAGCCCCGTAATAAAGCTATGTAAGTACACCCAGTTACCCTAGCAAAATTACCTCTCGACTTTTTCCTTGCCCAATATGATAAAGCATATTGAGATTTCTTGTTCGTAAAGATGATGACTAATACGGTGATAATGAATCGGAACAGAAAAACTGTTACCGAAAATTTTATTTGAATAATGAGAGAAATGAAGGAGAGATCTAACCAGAACCCACCAGGCCGCGCACAGAGAGGCAAATACGGCAAAAAATCGATTTCCTAAAAACTAAAATTTTGATAATCCAATTAACTTTTATTACAATATTTGAGCCATAAAGTATGGCTGTAAGAATGGTTTTACGGTTGAAAATTGATCAAAACCAGTAATCGCTGTTGAAACCTGAATATTAGGAATATTATAAATTTTGCAAAATATAAAGCTATTTTCTGAACATTTCCCCCACCCAACGAATCGTTGTTAAAACTCGTTCACTCCAATTTTCTTTTATGTACATAACCGGGTATGTGATAGAGATAAAAATTCAACGTTTGGATGGAATCGGTGGGTTAGTCGAGGGAAAACGAGGAATTTTCGAGGAATATTCGGTTTTTAGACGTTCAAAAAAAGCTCCGTTGTACTTTGCTTTGGAACTGATTTTTTTTTCTCTTCTATACACATCAAAGTAGTACTATCTCTGTGGTTTTCAGTTTCTGCATATCTGATTGCAAAACGGTTTTAAATAGGGCTGTTTAGCCAAAATCTCGAAAACACACTAAATTTGTCCACTTTCTGTTCAATTGAAGTATTGTGTCTTAACTGTTACCGTTTTTTTTTTCTATATAGAATCCGAATAAGGTATTTCGTATCATGAACCGTTTCTTTGATAAAAAATGTATGTGGGATCACCAACTTTCGTTTCATTACGGACGAAGTACAAAACGTCTGTCATTTTGTCACAGTTTGTAACTGAGTGAGCCCCATCTGAGTCAATACGCCCGATTATTTTTTGCAATGTGTAGCAGTTATTCGTCTACCGTCCAAAAAATTTGGTCAGTTCGCTGTAGTCCAATCGATTCGTGAAGAGTTTCATTGAATTCAGCGTACAGAAAAACATGTAAAACGGTACCCATGAAATTATTAGTGATATTTGTTCCATTTTTGGATTTTGGATCACAATTTTGGACGGTTTGGTGTACGCCAATCGATTGGAAAAAAGTTTCTTTGGATTCGGCGCACCAAAAGACCTAAACATACAAAATTTAGGGAACTTGACTCAAACAGCTTGGGTGTTACTGCATTTTTTCAGTTTTTTTTTTCGTTTTGGCCCCACTTTGGGCCGCTACGATGCCCAAAAGACAAAAAAGCGGACATAGTACTACATAGTACTAAACGGCCTACATCCACTATTAGCTATGGATCCAAGACATATGGAACCAACTTTTCGGATGCTGCAAAAATCTGTAGGTTCTTAGATAACTTCTTATTGAAAAATGTAAAATTTGGCTGAGTTTTATAAAGCAATACTTTAAATTTTTACTCATTGACTATGACTACTAGACAACTAACTCTCTCTTGACAACAAATACTCGTACAAAGCTCAATACTGAAACCAATATGGACGGCATGGAGTTTAAACAATCTTTACTCTCCGTGGAATCCCTACAATCACGGATCCATAGATCCATCGTCAGGGATAGGTGATGGGAATAAACGAGGCGGCCATTAGGCCTACTGCACCTTGAGAACTCGTCAGGAATCCAACCATAGTCCTGGTTCGGTTGCAGGTGCCGTCCGGTAATTCTTTTGTAAGTTTTGCCGATGGCCCTTCTATGAATCTCTTCGCGTGCTTCATACCTATTTGTATTGTTCCATCAGGCTTTGGACTCATTAAGGATCCATTTTAAGATGTAACTTCTTTTGTGGCAGGCTGCTAGGCCGCAGTAGGGTTCTGGGCCCATAGAGTCCATGTTGGCTCCCTTTTTGGCCAATATGTCAACCTTTTCGTTGCCTCTATGCCCCGAATGTCCAGGGACCCATGCCAGGGTCAGGTCATTAGTGTCGCTGTCTTCCGTCAGGGCCTCCAGGCATTTCCAAACACTCTTTGCCTTCGCCTCGCATGAGGCTAAGGCTCTGAGGCTGCCTGGCTGTCAGAGAAAATGGCTGTCTTCCGGGAATATATTCCTAGCCTTTTTATTTCTCTGGCACATTGTTCAATCGCTATGATTTCAGACTGGAAAACTGTAGCATAATTGCCTAGGTTTAACGCCAATTCGGTTTTGGTTTCATCCCAAAGACCGCAGCTCCCTTGTCGGTTTTGGAGCAGTCAGTATACCAGTAGGAATTAGCCTTGGCCCATTCTTCCCGTTCTGGTATTAGTACTTTCAACTTCCTGTTGAAGTTGTACTTTAGAGTAGTGGCATCAGTTGGCATACCTAGAATGGAATCTGCCTCTATCTCCTCCCTCAGTTTCCACTGTTTATTCACATGGCCTATCTTAGCAGATGGTCGTCCATTTATGATCCTGTGGGCTGCTGCTCTGGCTTCTCCTTGGATTAAAATGTGAAGTGATGGGATGCTTAACAAAACTTCCAGGGCAGCATTTGGCGTTGGGCTCATGGCACTGAGACACGTTTGTCGTTGGGTGCCACTTAGGAGCCTTGCTGTTTTGGCCTGAAGAGTTTTGGTTCACCACACCACCGGTCAACATTGGTCTTAGCCATAGGGTCAGTTTGGGGTTTATACCCCAGTCTGTAACGCAGAGCATTCTGCACCTCCTCCAGGCAATTTTCGCTCTTTGGGTAGTTTTGGTTAGATGCGACTTCCAAATGAGCCGCTGACCTAGATATTTGGCTTTCTTGGAAAACGGACTCATACTCCCATTTAGGATTGGAGTTTTTAAGCTTCCTGTTGTCCTTTTCCTTGTGAATGGAATCATTATAGTTTTATGGGGGTTGATAGATAACTCCTCCCTTCTGCACCACCTGTCAACCAACTGTCATTAGTGTCACTGACTTCCGTCAGGGCCTCAATACAGTTCCAAACACTCTTTGCCTTTCTCCTAGCATGAGGAGGTCCTAAGTGCTGTCTGGCTGTCAGAGAAAATGGCTATCTTCCGGAAATGTATTCCTAGCCTTTTTATTTCTCCGGATTATTGTTCAATCGCTGATTTCAGACTGGAAAGCATATTTACCTAGGTTTACCGTCAATTCGTTCTTGGGGTTCATCCCGATGACCACAGCTTCTGTACCCTCGTCGGTTTTGGAGCCGTCAGTACACCAATAGGATTTTGCCTTTAGCGGTATTCCTTTGGCCCATTCTTCCCGTTCTGGTATCAGTACTTTGTATTTTTTAGTAAAGTTGTACTTTGGAGTAATAGCATCAATTGGTATTTATATCTAAGACGATTTAATGGTGAAATTTGATACCATTTTTTGTTTGAAGTTATATTCTAGAGTTTTGTTCCACTGGGCTACAGTTTATATTCTTGTTCTCGCCCAATGTGGGTCTGATTTACGGAATAATAAATGGATGATGTCTATAGTGAATAACTATAATAATACTTAGCCAAAACATTTTCCAACCTGTCTTCTGAATTCGTCTATATATAAAAATTGAATCTGTCAACTTTTTCCCATTTATTCCATCATTCCCCTCTTAGATTTGCAAAAAGAATAAATAATTAAACCTAGCTTTTATGAACTTTACCCTCCACGTAATCCTCTTCTACCCGACAGGAGTCTTAAACAGGTTTCTGACTAATAAAAGCGATGATCCAGAATCGGGTTAAAAGCTCATCCCACCTTTTATTGACCTACTCCTAATGAAATCGACGATTTAAAAGTTCACTTTAAAAGTTAGCAAAGAATAAACTTTTTTTTTGGTTAGTAAAATAAAAACTGATTTAACTTTCGTTATAAAAAGAATTTTGGCAAAATGAATAGACTCTAAATAAAAAATATTTACTGATGACTTACCTCGTCTTGTGTGTCATCGGGTTTGTAATAGGAAGCGCAGTCTTCGCAGACTTTCTGCTGGCATTCGCCGCAAGTGCGGTTGAAGTCGTCAGGCTTGAAGGACTTGAGGCAGACACGGCATGAACCCGACCTGCTCACCGGTTTTCCGGCCTCCGCTTTCCTGTTGGAGAAAATAATTTTCGAGGTTTGAAACAACTTGGAAATGGAGAGGCGAAAAAGAAAAAAACAAAGAAACAATTTCTTAATCAGAAACTTTGACGAGTTACTTGAAAAGATAACCGTCTTGTATAGTTTATAGTGAAGTTACAGCGACCCACAAAATTAATCCATGAAATGATTTAATATGGAATATTGAATATAAGATCATAGCCATAGTTAAGCATAAAAATACAAATATAACACTCACTGGATAAACATAAGTTAATGTAATAAAATAAAAAATTTATTTTTCTTAAATCTGCAAACATTTGGTTAAAATGGAAGGGAAGTTCGACTACAAAAAAAAAAAAATCCGTTTAAGATATCGATAGTTGACTAATCCTATTAATATTTTTGAAGTTATGTTTTTACACCTAGACCCGATTACATACTCCCTCATTCTTAAATAAATTATTTCCTATTCAATTAGGACGGTGGAGTACGGGATGTACCTCCCTCACCCCTCTCATTGGGCCTTTTGTCATCTTACCCAGAACATTCACTTTAATAAATACATTCACTTCCATTGTACACACTAGGAGACACATTATAAGACATCTATGTTCTCAAAAAATCGTAGCAGAGGACGAAAAAACTTGCTAACGGTTTCAATCACAATTCTAATATAAAGTGGCATTCCTACACGCTGCCTATATGGAACCAAGTAGTCAATTTATTGAAAAACATCTAGTAACTTTTCTCTACATGCAGGAAAAGCTCTTAGAAAGTAGGCTAAGGCAGAATTGAAATTGAACAAAAAAACACTTGATAAAATCACCACGTGTAGGACAATCAAAAGGAAAGTGCACAAATAACTTAAAGGTATGGACATAAAATGGGTCTTCTTCACAATAGATCTTTTAGGTCAAAGTGGCAGACAGGGAGACTAACTGAATAATTTCATCAGTGAACCCCAAAGGAAAAAAAAGCAAATTTCCCTGAACCTCAAAATTACTTCACTTACAATTTCAAAAACTTTGTAATAAACAAGTTGAAAATACGTGGTTAAAAAATTCGTTCTTTTTGAACTAAATCTAAATAAATCTAAATTTGTAAAAATTAGTGAATATATGCAATAAAAGGGCAATGGTTAGAACCTGATAATATGAAATAGAAACATTATTAAACCTACCACCATTTTTTTTTAATTTTCAAATTTTAGCAGATTACGAAGCGAAAACTAAAGGCAAATCAAATACAATTATAAAGTATGCAGATGGTTCCAAAACCAGGGAAGAAAGCTTAAAATATGATAAATCAAACACATTATGGAAGTACCCTTGGATAAAAAAACCCAAAAAAACCAACATATGATTAGTGAGGCGAGCAGCCCTAAAAACATTAGCAAGTAAATAGGACATATTAAATTAAAAAGCCGGCGAATGCATTCAAAATCGCCGAAACCTGAAAACGACAACCTGAGACTTTCTTGGGGTGCCAGGGCAGAAAATAAATATAAAAATGAACAAGAAAACTAATTGGCCAAACTCTTGAGGTTCCAGACAGAGTAAAATAATAGTAAAGTACCCTCGTCAAAACTGGCAAACCAATGAGCTGCCAGAAAATGGTAAGCTCATGGAAAACGAACCCCCTTCAAAACGGTTAGACAGGTAAAGCTCAGGAAACCCAACAAACACAATGAAAATCAAGTGAAACACATCGAGCAACCTTTCACTACATTCCAAACTCATGCGCTGGCCTTGACTGAAAATTAATTAAAAAGAAGTTAATGTACAAGCCGACAAACTGGCCAGAGCAAAAAGAGAAATAAACAAACTCTAGAGGTGCCACACAAAGTTAAAGAACCATCGTCAAAACTAGCAAACACATGCTACAATTAGATAAGATAAAACTCAGAGAATTGCTAAGGTTATGTATATAGTAGTTTCTGACAAAACACCAAAACAACATATTCAATAATAACAACAGGTTATGAATGAAGAGGAAAAAACAGTCATATCATCTTGAAGCAACCGCTCCATGTGGGCATAACCTAAATTAACTAGAAGGCCCACAATGACAATCAATGATGACTAATCCCTAAAATTGAGTCAATCGATAGGCCTGTTGTATCATGCCGGACATATCCGCGATATAAGGCTCAGTAAATGTCTGTGCTAACTGTAAGAATTACAAATTTCGATGTTTTGTTAGTTCTCATCCAGGCGAAATTAGGCTCCAGGGGATATCGACATTAAGGTCATTTAAGCTCCGTATTGATGCGGTTTTAACCTAAACATACACACTCTTTAATTAATTATTGAATACATTCTTATTTACCATACACTCAACTAGGGTGCTGGTCATTATTTGCACATCACATTCGCGCTTATAAATACATTCTTACGAAACAGTTGACGTAAAATAACAAGTTTAACTGCAATAAAGTTGAAAATGTATACTGGGTGTCCCAGTCCCTTCTGACGAATCTCAGGGAATCGATTCTACGTTTCGAACAAAAAATGCCCAGGAGAAAATTTTCGTAAAGTTCTCTATTTTGAAGATATTCGTCAATTTAGGTTTTTTCAACTTTTCACTAACTTAGCTTTTTTTAAAATTTACCTTAGCTCAGGTTTTCGAACATTCAATTTTTCAACTCTACTAGAACGTTATTTAAAAACCTGGATATATCAACGTAAAGCATATTAGATGAAGAAGTTTTTGTGAAATTTGACAAGTTGTAGGTATTTTTTTGTATCCTCAGTAGAACGTGCAATAATGACCGAAATTTTAAATTTTGTAATTTTGACATGTTCCAACTAACATTTGGCAACATTTTATGTCATTCAGATTATTGTAAATAGAAGTATCTTACAGCAAATTTAGCGTTCTTTCAAATGGTGTAATTGGATTTGTTGTAGTCTCAACATTTTGGAAGTTGTAAGCGTTTTTATGTGGTAAGGTAGTGAAAAGTTGAAAAAACCTAAATTGACGAATATCTTCAAAATAGAGAACTTTCCGAAAATTTTCTCCTTGGCATTTTTTGTTCCAAACGTAGAATCGATTCTCTGAGTTTCGTCAGAAGGAACTGGGACACCCAGTATATACAGAAATGACATCAATAATCGGGGATCCAAATATTCCGTACTCTAGAATGATTCTTGGGTGGCATTTCTACTCGCTCCCTATATGGAGCCAAGGTATCACACCCTACCATAAAGTGATATTGAGAAACATAAGCGTGCTTTGATGCAAAATTGTCAATTTGTCTTCTATGGTCTCGGTGCTCAGTCAATGTAAACATTCTTATGGAATTCAGATCATCGGGGGGGCCACCTATCGACAGTATTTTTGAAACGGGAAGGCGTCTAAAACCAATCCCACCAAGGCTGCCATTTTCTTATATTCGTGTTTTGTTTTTTTATTGGATTTTTAAGGTCAGAAAGCCGGATCGTTTTGGTTAGATCCAAAAGTTGGAACTTCCCAAACTTAGCAGGCTCTACGCTTCTTACGAACTTTATGCCAGGGACCCCGAAAACTACCATCAATTTTGCGAGACGCTCAAGTTCCCAGTTCCCTCCAAGAAGAGCACGGTGGGAGGTGCTCGGAGGACTTTTCACGGTCAGCAAGACTGACAGACAGTTTTTAAGTATTGATAATTTAATCAATTTAAAAATTTTGAAATCAAGTTGTGTAAGTGACTGTACATATTTTATGTCTACTGTCATAATATATACTTACGGTTTCGGTGGTTCTTCTACAGGCTTGACAACTTCCGGTGTGATCTGAACTTCTGGCTGTTTGTTACTTTGGACCAATTTGTTCGTCACTAAAAAGAAAAAATTGAAAGATTAAAAAAATATTATATTAAAAGTATGAGTTTTCCGATTATTACCTCTGTCTTGCGCTGTCATTAGGCTTGACGACAAAGTGTGCCTGATTTTGGAAAGAGTCGTATCTCCAGCCCCACCTTCGGCGGCCGCTCCCGTTACTTCGGTCGTCACCATCTATAAACAGAAAAATTATTTAAAATTTGTAAGGTTTTTTTTAAATATAGAGAGTTTGATGTGCATGTAGGACGTTTATTTAAGGGTTAATTTGATTGGACAATTTCCGTCTTAAAAACGTTAAAGTGCTTAGCGAGTTCTTTATGACTGCGTGACCGGTCGCAAGGTCCGTGCTGTGTTGAAATTACTTGTTCCAAACCCGGGGATTTGTGGCCTCGGCGAGATTTCACTTTTGTTCAGAAACGCTTGCAAACTGCTTATTTTCATAATTGATCTATGTTAGATATAAACAGCCAAAGAAAAAAAGAAAACATAAGAAGAAAAGGTTCGGTGCGAAAAAAGTAATAAAGAGGACTAAACGCAGACCACTACAACTCAAACATTACAAAAATACGGCCGTGATGATGATGAGAAGGAGAAGAAAAGAAAATACCCAAAATGGTTTACTGCAGACTTTTATCTTATTCTATTTTTCTTAGTTCCTTAGTTTAGTACAATTGCTCTTCTCTTAGGTAAATAACTGCCATCGCTGAAATTCTTTCGCAGGGTCTTCTTAGTACCCAAGATTGTCTTATGATTGAATAATGGCGGAAAGTATAAAAATTTAAATAGTTGAAGTTTGAAATATGGAGTTGGTGTCTGGAGAGACCGAACATCAAGATAGTTTAAATGGTAGAGGACTGGGTCGGTCTTGTGAAAAACCTCTTGTAAAACAGTTTCTTACTCAACTTTCTTCTTTGCATAGAAATCAAAACATATTTTATAAAAAATATTGAATGTGATGAATATTTGTTTAAAATAAAGCCTTATCAATTGACTGAGTTTTACCCTGTTTTGCAAATTTTAGCTAGAGTTCTTTATATTTTATATTTTATGCCTGGAACCTACGTCCATCCCATCTAATGTTGTGTATGTCCCAATTCTGAGTTGGAGCAGTCTATGTTTGATCTTATCATCCCAATCGTTGGAAAACTCTAAAGGTGGGGTTGAGATGGGAAGTTGGTGTCCCACGATAGCTCAAGCGGTAGAGCAGCTGCGTATCAAGCCGAAGATCGTGGGTTCGAATCCCGCTCGTGCCATTGACTTTTTTTATCTCAACTAAAACCTTAATAAATTGTAATATACTAATTGGCCAAGCGGACCTCGAAATTAGTGAATTTAAGTATTATTAATCTTTCAATTAATTAAGGTTTTTTAGTTGGGATAAAAATGTCAGTGTCACGAGCGGGATTCGAACCCACGATCTTTGGTTAGATTCGCCGCTGCTGTACCACTTGAGCTATCGTGACCTCCATTCACTCGGACACCAACTTCCCATCTCAACCCCACCTTTTGAGTTTTTCCTCCTTTTTTGCCATTTTTCTAATCTCAACTAAAAACCTTAATTAATTGAAAGATATTAATTGGTCAAGCGGACCACGAAAACTAGTGAATTTAATGAGGATTATTAATATTAATCTATTTATGTTTTCGTAGTCAATTGACTAAGTTACTTCTTTCAATCAATTAATTATTCTTTCTAAGGTTTTGGTTGAGATAAAAAAGTCAGTGTCACGAGCGGATTCGAACCCACGACCTTCGGCTCAATACGCCGTTTCTCTACCACTTGAGCTATCGTGACTTCGATCCTCTCGGACACAAACTCTCCATATCAATCTACAACCATTCGAATTTTCCTTCTGTAATATTTAAAAAGTAAAAGAAGTATCACTTCACGAAACAGCTTCCCTTGGCCCCTTCCTAAGTCACTGAGAATATAATCCGATTACACGGCATTTGAAAATGGCAAAAAGAGGGAAAAATCAAATGGTTGTAGGTTTATGAGTTAATATAAACTTTGAGTCGTCAGCGAACGAAAATCAAATAAAACTCGAATGAAAAACATTAAATACCATGTGTCCACTTAGGCCTTAGGACTTGTTTTTATATTATTTTATTTTGTATAGTAAGTTTGGAGTTCTATCGATCAGTATTATTGTATACCTTATACTTATTTTTGCACTTTTATTATTTACGTGCTCTTTCCATTTCAGTTTGGCGACAGAGGTCATTTCCAGATGTATAATTGTATCTCTGTATGGTATAATTTCCCCATATCGATGGGGAGAAACGGAACATGAATTTTTTCTTCGTGAAATTTATATGTACAGATTTATGCTGATGCTTATTCTCTGCTTATTTATCTATTATGTTTATTTACCATTGAATATGAAGTTTCTATCTTCTCTTTCTCTTAGGTTTAGTAAATTTGTTTAGTAAGTTCGAGATCAGGGATGCGGTCATCAAAAACAAGTAAGTTTTGTAACTTATACCAAGCTTTCAACCTTTATTGAGGTCTTCATCAGGGCTCTTTATACCTTATTTATTAGTGCTTTTTTATCCTTTTTGATTGGCTTTCTTTCTATCCTTCACCGTTTCTTTTTTGAGTATGTTTTGTGTACTGGGTTCTGTTGCGTAGATCTCACCCTGGGAAATGTGGTTCACAGATGTTTTGTTAGGGAAAATTTGTACTTTAAATCGTTTTCCACTGTTCCATTTTCTAAACCATTTGTACATCATATTTTTTTATTTGTTTCGGGTTTTTAATTATTCTAAAAATATCAAAAATATTTCGCACTGAAATTCGTGGGATTGTTAACGTTGTGATATTTCACATCCATTTTCGTTTTAAATTGGACCCCGCCACCATTCGCCGGTTAAAAACGGCTTTTATAAATGCCGGCCGTCGCACAAGGATCGAATGGCATAGATGATGATGACTGGGCGGGTTGATAAGGGGCGGCAACAGGTTTCCTTTTAGGGCAACTTGTTGCTCCCTGGCCAGCGACCAAATCGTTAAATGGGAAACAACGGTGTCACTTGTAGACGGTTTACGAATTTACACCAGGCCCGCCGGTGGTGTGGGGGCCGGATTCAATTGTTTTCACATCGGTTCTCAATCAATCCGATTGGTGTTTCATCCCGAGATTTCGGAGAAAGAGACAACTCCGGAGGAAGTCAGGAAATAGAGATCTTGTCTTCTAATAATGACATTAACCTAGTTTCTCCACACCAATTTAGGATTTTCTTCTCCCCTTTTAATACTGAATTTGACTGAAAAATAACCACAGGGAATGATTTCCAATCATTAATAATATTTAACTAACTGAATAAATTTATAATTTTTAAATTAATTCATAATATCTACATAAAATTTAGAAAAGAGTATCGATTTATGATATAATACATGACTAGGTAAGAAGTTTTCTTATTAGGCAATTTGAGTTAATAAGAACTTACAAAAACCTTAATCAACAAAAAAATTAATAGCAAATTTAAGACAGACAAAAAAAATTATTTAAATAATATTAATAATCGTTAAATAATAATAATATACAATTGATTTTTTATTCATTTTCTCGATAAAAGAAGATCCTACCCTTAATTTGTCTCATCGTTTTTATCAATAAATATTTGTTTATGCTATGTTTCAAATTGGGAATATCAATTAGAGGAAAACACACTTAATCCTTAATCCAAAACAAAGATAAAGGATTTTTCAATGTTTACTTTTTATGGAAGTTAAAATGTTTATTCAATCTCATTTGAATTCTGAGGCAATAAACTATTTACTTTTCATCTTTGTATTCTTAATTTCAAGTTTTAAACTTAAAATGCATATTTGGAGATCGTGAGATGCGGTCTAGTGTGACGTAGGTTTTAGAAAAACATTTTATTTATCGTACCAACGTTTCGATCTTTATTGAAATCATCTTCAGAGCCTGGGTTTTATAAACATTGTTTAAATTTTACAAATGCATGTAGGATGTGAAAGAATAAGAAAAAATTGAATTTACACATTGCTAGATAATTTTAGATTTAAAAAATGAATTTAACAATGCTAGAAAATTTTAGATAAAAAAAATGAATTTATACAATGCTAAAATGTTTTAGATTCAATCGATCTTTATTGAGATCATCTTCAGGGCTCAAAGTGTTTGTTTTCCGTGTAGATGTGTCATTCGGGTGTGTCGTATTGAGAGTGACTTTGAGCCCTGAAGATGATCTCAATAAAGATCGAAACGTTGGCACGATAAAGAAAATGTTCCTCCGAATAATCATTAATTAACGGTCACCAAACATCACACCGTAAAAATGCTACTTAGTGCTGTGGATATTGAACGTGTTGTGGCACTTATTGATAATGAACGATCCATCAGGTATCAGGCCAGCATCGGAGTTCAGATGCTGCTAATGAGATGCTGTCTTGTGAGATGTAGAAAAACATTTCTTTTTCGTGCCAAAGTTTTGTCTTTATTGAGATCATATTCAGAGCCTGGGATTTATAAACATTGTTTAAATTAAACAAGTGCGTGTTGGATGGGAAAATGAATTAATACAACGACGTACACAAGGTAGGTATTTTAGGTTTAATCAAAGTATTTGTACTCACTCGAAATGTTTTTTTTTATGTAGATGTTACATATAAAATTTGCGAAACAAAATGACATCCACGCAACAAATGACATTTGTGAAACAAAATGACATCCATGCAACAAAATGACATTTATGCAAACAAAAGGATATTTTTGAAAAAATGATTTACAAACACCATACTGAAACATAATGACACAAAGCCATCATTCTGATATGAAATGACATTTCTGAGACAAAATGACATCCACGCCACAAAAGGACATTTGTGAAACAAACACAACAGAATGACATTTATGCAAACAAAAGGTTATTTGTGAAACAAAATGATTTACAGACACCATAGTGAAACAAAATGATTTACAGACCACACTAAAACATAATGACACAAAGCCATCATTCTGATATAAAATGACATTTGTGAGACAAAATGACATCCCCGCCACAAAAGGACATTTATGAAACAAACACAACAAAATGACATTTATGCAAACAAAAGGATATTTGTGAAACAATATGTTTTACAGACACCATACTGAAACACAATGATACAAAGCTATCATTCTTATATAAAATGACATTTCTGA